GATTATTTTCCTACCTCTACCACATCGCACACTATCAAACTATCCATTTTATTCAGGAGTTCTCAGTTGATTTGCCATCACATTGTTGAGAGTTGTTCCCGCCCTCTGTCCCTCCCTATTTTCACAAGAAGGACATCCTGCTACAGCATGTTTTTCTCTAGTTTTTCAATGATTGAATATCTTGTAGTCTCTCCACCAATTTAACATAGTTTGTGGGCACAAAAACAAAGTTTCTGGAGCACAACAACTACTTTCAAAGTAAGGACTACACAATTAAACAGGAAATAATACTTGCAAACTAGGAACATATTTTCTTTGTTGTTGTTGTTGTTGTTATTCAGAGACAGAATGGCCCTCTGTCGGGGGTGCTTTGATTGTGTTTTTGCTACATGACAGAAAGAAGGGAGTTGGACTACATGACCCCTGGGGTCAACCAAAGGAAGTGAAGGAGGAGGGAAGGAGGCATCTGGGGGCTCTCCCTTTGCTATCATTTTAGCAATCCTCCTCACTTTCTCTCTCTCTCTTTCCCCGAGGTAACACATGGCACACACAACACACAGAAGGAAAGAAGTCCCCCAGAAAGTGTATGAAACAGAAAGAAACACAACATACTGCCCATCTTCCGTCTTCAGTAAGCAAAAGGTAATGTTGGAGTTTTTTCTCAAAGGAGGCTGCTCCCATAAATTGCTTAACCATATCATTTTAAGCTGGGAACGATGAATACCATCACATACCAGAATTGACCATTTTGCCCATCTCTATCCGGATAATTTGCAAAAGAAGTCACTTGCCAACCAGCTTAGAAAACGTCTGAAAAGACAACCCTTTGCAACGCTTTTTTAACCTTAAGGTATCTCTTCCCTACACTTGAAGCCTACATGATGTGATAAACACAGTAGGTTGCCATTTCTTCAGTGGTTCAGTAGTATTGAATTAATGTGATAAAGTGGTAAATGTCTCTTCCCACCAATATTTTAAAGGAGTCAAGAATGGGTTTCAATATATTACCGTTTTATAATTTTCCCTATCTTGTTTAGAAGATCATGTGGCTACCTACTTTGAAGATTGACCACAGTGTTACTAAAATGAGAACCACATGGCGTGTTTTATAGCAGCATTGGCATGCCTTTGGACAGTGCTACTAGTTTTTGTGATTAGTGTGCAAAATGCTCATAATCCCTGAGATAGTCCTGTCACAAGATAAGTGTTTCAAAAGTTAAAGCTCTACTAAAATGCCTCAGTTCTCTGTTGGATCACCTTAGAAGGAGAACTGTTTAAGGATTAAGAACTTGAATTTGTTGTATGAGAAATTCGTAATGCAAACATGAATTAGAAAAGAAATAACAGGATATTTCAGTAGTGAAATGGGAAGTGACAGTTGGTTGTCCTGTTTTAGTAAAATTCATTGAATGAGACCTTGACTTGAAACAGTTATGTGTGAGGCTGCACTTCAGTGGGATACTGAAGCAGCTCCACTGGCTCCCGATAAGTTTCTGGGCCCAATTCAAAGTGCAGGTGATTACCTATAAAGCCCTTTACACTTCGGGTCCAATCTATCTTTGAGACCTCATCTCCTATGAACCAGCGCAGGCATTAAGATGTGCTGGAGAAGCCCTTCTCTCAGTCCCACCTCCCCCTCAGATTCAAAAGGAGACAAATACAACATTCTCTCTGAACAAATCTTGCACACATTCAGACAATGTGATATGTTCACCTTACTGTTGCCATTAGTCAGAAATAACTTGAAGGCACAACAACAACAAATCCAAGAATATGCAGCTGTATGGCTTTTTAAATTTTGTAACAAAAGCATTGCATAAATAAATAAGTTTAAAACTGATAAAATAAAGGGATCACAAGTAGCTAAATAGTTTTAGACCAAAAATATGTAACAGCAACATCATTGTCTATAGCTTTAGACGTTTCTTCCTCTGTAATTGTGGACAAGCACACAGATGCTGAGATGTTTCATAGAATCATAGAGTTGGAAGAGACCTCACGGGCCGTCCAGTCCAACCCCCTGCCAAGAAGCAGGAAAATTGCCTTCAAAGCAAACTCAACAGATGGCCATCCAGCCTCTGTTTAAAAGCCTCCAAAGAAGGAGCCTCCACCACACTCTGGCGCAGAGAGTTCCACAGCTCTCACAGTCAGGAAGTTCTTCCTAATGTTCAAGTGGAATCTCCATCTGCTCCACAGTTTGTTCTGCTCCACAGTCACACAATGTGGAGGATTCTTCTAGGACAGAGGTTCCCAACCTGTGGGTTCCCAGGTGTTTTGGCCTACAACTTCCAGAAATCCCAGCCAGTTACCAGCTGTTAGGATTTCTGGGTGTTGAAGACGAAAACATCTGGAGACCCACAGGTTGAGAACCACTGTTCTAGGTAATGCCATTTAGCCAGGTTGTCTTTTGATCTGCCAACTCCAATTCTGAGTCTGTTCAGGAACTTCCAAGTTATCCATTCTTGGTTTGCTCCTGGAGGAAGACCCTCATAGGAGGTTATCCAGTTGGAATTGCCTGATTTTGCTGCCCACAGGGATATTCTTACTGTTGCTGGAAGAACATTTAGAGGAGTTCTCATGAAACTTTCCCTTGATTTAAGTCTACTGGGAGGAGGCTGATAACCATACAGTGGATGGCTTTCACAGTATTCAACCTTATTTCTCTTGCAATTGGCAGCAACTTCATGTCGCACATCAGAGGGGGCAATGCCAACTAGCTTATAAAGCAGATATGGGCAAACTTCAGCCCTCCATGTGTTTTGGACTTCAACTCCCAGCTACTGGCTGTTAGTAATTGTGGGAGTTGAAGTCCAAAACACCTGGAGGGCCGAAGTTTGCCTATGCCTTTTACAGAGTCTATCAGCAGGTATAGGCTTAAGATATCGTGTGACTATTCTACATGTCTCATTCGGTGCTATATTCACCTGCTTTGCATGGGCAGACTTGTGCCGAACAGGGCAGGGATACTCAGCAGTTGAGTAAGATAAGGCCAGAGCTGCTGTTCTTATTAATTTTGGGTCTGCACCCCATGCACTATTAGTAAGTTTCTGCAGGATGTTATTGCATGCAGCTACTTTGTGCTTGGTGTTCGCACAGTGTTTCCTAAATGTTACCGTTCGATCTAAGATAGCGCAGAGGTATTTAGGGTGGGAACAGTGTTCAAGCTCTTGGCCTTCCCAGGTGACCTTTAGTTTCCTGTTAGTTCCACAATTACGTTGATGGAAAGCACACACTTGTGTCTTGGCAGGGTTAGGCTTCAGGTGGTTGTTTTTGCAGTAGTTGGAGAGATCTTTCGGAGCATTAGTTAGTTGGTTTTCAACTGTTTCAAAGTCTTTTGCTTGTGTTGTTAAGCCAAGGTCATCAGCATATATAAAACTCTTTGTGAATGGTGGTTGTGGCCGATCCTTAGTAAAAAATAAAATAAAAATTAAACAAGGTCAGTGCAAGAATGGTGCAAGAGCTGCATGGCTGGAAACCTATTGGTTGGATATAGTAATAGTGGATCCATTGAATCAAAATGTGAGTTAAAATAATTTGAACTGTAAGAAAGGTGCAATATCCACCTTTTTAAAATATGCTTAATTAATGTCACTTGGGAGCAGGAGACAAATAGTCCTTCTAGCACAGTGGTTCTCAACCTTCCTAATGCCAAGACCCCTTAATACAGTTCCTCATGTTGTGGTGACCCCCAACCATAAAATTATTTTCATTGCTACAGTAGCTGTAATTTTGCTACTGTTATGAATTGTAACGTAAATATCTGATATGCAGGATGTATTTTCATTCACTGGACCAAATTTGGCAAATACCCGATATGCCCAAATTTGAATACTGGTGGGGTTGGGGGGTTGATTTTGTCATTTGGGAGTTGCAGTTGCTGGGATTTATAGTTCCCCTACAATCAAAGAGCATTCTGAACTCAACCAAGAATGGAATTGAACCAAACTTGGCACACAGAACTCCCATAATCAGCAGAAAATACTTGAAGGGTTTGGTGGGCATTGACCTTGGGTTTTGGAGTTGTAGTTCCTCTACATCCAGAGAGCACTGTGGACTCAAACAATGATGGATCTGGACCAAACTTGGCACGAATCCTCGATATGCCCCAATGTGAACACTGGTGGAGCTTGGGGAAAATCGATCTTGACATTTGGGAGTTGTAGATTCTGGGATTTATAGTTCACCAACAATCAAAGAGAATTCTGAACTCCACCAATGATAGAATTGAGCCAAACGGCTATGGAGCACCCTCCCGGTTGACATCAGACAGGCGCCCTCCCTTATGGCATTCCGTAAGAGCCTAAAAACATGGTTATTCGAAAAGGCATTTAACTAAGTGCTAATACAATTGGCATTGACGACTGGAACGGAATATGGACTATGAGATTGGGTTATGATTCTATGATGAGACGACGTGGATGATTTAGTTTAATTATATGTATTGTAAACTGTTTTTATATGTTGTACACCGCCGTGAGTCGCCCTAAGGGGCTGAGAACGGCGGTCAACAAATGCAATAAATAAAATAAATAAATAAATAATAAATAAACATCCCACATAGAACTCCCATGACCATTAGAAAATACTGTTTTCTCTGTTGGTCTTTGGCAACCCCTCTGACACCCCTTGTGACCCCTCCAGGCATCCCAACCCCCAGCTTGAGAAATGCTGTTCTAGAGAGGACCTGCAGTTAATGTAGGATAGGGGCAAAGAGGAGTCTTAATGGTTGGCCCTGCCAACGTTCCTTCTGATAATCAATCCTGTGCTTTATATTTTCCATACACAATGTGGTTTGTAGATTCAGATCTTGTTTATATTGAATGTCTTTCATCTGATATCTCTCAGCTAAAGAGAACAAGCTGAACAACCTCTTTCGGTTACTGTATGCTTTATCAGTGGGCAGGGTTATTATTCCTGTGGAAGGTTGTCGTTTAATTGCACAATCCATTGGTACGTCATTTGGTAGGTATAGCATCTGACTGAAAATATTTTACAGCATGCACCTTAGTTCTCGTATGCAGGAGACAGACTTCCCAGAGTCAGCTCTGCACAGCCATCCTTGTGGACTTGTTTCCTCGTAAAAAAAATTAACTGCACTCAAGACTGTGAAGTATGGCATTTGCTGAAGAAGAACATTAACATTAACATTTGGAATCAGGCAAGCTGATGCTGCAAGAAATTGAAAGCTGTAACTTTTGTCTGAGACTACATGGGAGAAATGAATCTCTTGATGCGTGATCCTTTGGGAATGAGGCTGGTTGGATGATGTTACGCTCTTTAGCATTTCAAGTTGTAGAATCATGGCAGACGACGAAGAGGAGCTGACAGTTGAAGTTGGTATATCTATATGTGATCTTTGAAAACATCCATTTTTATGTTTAGGAAATATAGGACAGGGTGGAATCTTGGCTGAATTTGTATTTTAAATATGCAAAAAAAATTAAGTGTAGTAAAATTCTCCTTTATCATAATAGTGATATGTATACATGAAAGTAAAAATTAGGATTTTTAAAGAGTGTATTACACTCCTCCAAATTAGATAATAATAATAAATGAGAATACTTGAATGGAAATAATAGTATGAAGCAAAGTATTGTTCCCTTTTGGTTTTAAACATTTCCAAACATTTTCAGGCATGGGAGTGAGGTGGAGCCTCTCCTTATAAGCAGGTTTTTCAGAATCCACTGTTTTCTTTTTAGTATTGTAGCTAGGAGTACTACTGGTTTTCCAAATACTGTTGGGATTTTTCATTTTGAGATCACTGCAGTCAAATTATGTTGGTATATGAATGAGGAGTGAACTTTGCCTGTGCATTTTAAATTTAATTTGTGTATATTTTATCAGATTGATTTACGTTCCGGACATAGAGATGGTGAGACAAATATTGCAGTGGTATGAAAGAGCTGGGCATGTTTAGCCTGAAGAAGACAAGGCTGAGAGGAGACATGATAGCCATGTATAAATACGTGAGAGGAAGTCATAGGGAGGAGGGAGCAAGCTTGTTTTCTGCTGCCCTGGAGACTAGGACGCAAAACAATGGCTTCAAACTACAAAAAAGGAGATTCCACTTGAACATTGGGAAGTACTTCCTGACTGTGAGAGCTGTTCAGCAGTGGAAGTCTCTGCCCGAAGTGTGCTGGAGGCTCCTTCTTTGGAGGCTTTTAAGCAGAGGCTGCATGGCCATCTGTCGGAGGTGCTTTGAATGCAATTTTCCTGCTTCTTGGCAGGGGGTTGGACTGGATGACCCATGAGGTCTCTTCCAACTCTATGATTCTATGAAAGCCAGCCCTAAAGTGGGGTAGTGCTTTGAGTGTTGGACTATGACTCTGGAGACCAGGGTTTGATTACCCATTTAGCTATGAAAACCTACTGGGTGTTCTTGGGTGAGTATCACGCCCTCAGCACCAGAAAATCTCTTTTCTTAGGGTTTTCAGAAATGATTTGAAGGCACATTACAGCAAGCTAACTTCTATATAGGTTGCTGTGAGTTTTCCAGGCAGTATGGCCATGTTCCAGAAGTATTCTCTCCTGACATTTCATCCACATCAATGGTAGGCATCCTCAGAGGTTGTGAGGTCTGTTGGAAACTAGACAAGTGAGGTTTATACATCTGTGGGATGTCCAGGGTGGGAGAAAGAACTCTTGTCTGCTCGAGGCAAGTGTGAATGTTGCAATTGGCTGGTTTGATTAGCATTGAATAGCCTTGCAGCTCCAAAGCCTGACTGCTTCCTGCCCAGGGGAATCCTTTGTTGAGAGGTGTTAGCTGGCCCTGATTGATTCTTGTCTGGAATTCCTGTTATTTGAGTGTTGCTCTTTATTTACTTTCCTGATTTTAGAGGTTTTTTTAAAAAATACTGATAGCCAGATTTTCATGGTTTCTTCCTTTCTAGGTTCTTGTAGGTTTTTTCGGGCTATAGGGCCATGTTCTAGAGGCATTTCTCCTGACGTTTCACCTGCATCTGTGGAAAGCATCCTCAGAGGTAGTGAGGTCTGTTGGAAATAGGAAAATGGGTTTATATATCTGTGGAATGACTGGGGGTGGGGCAAAGAGCTCTCTGCTGAAGCTAGGTGTGAATGTTTCAGCTGACCACCTTCGTTAGCATTTGAAGGCCTGGCTGAGCCTGGGAAAATGTTCTGTTGAGAGGTGTTAAGATGTGCCTGGTTGTTTCCTCTCTGCTGTTTTGCTGTAGTAATTTTAGAGTTTTTTAATATTGGTAGCCAGATTTTGTTCATTTTCATGGTCTCCTCCTCTCTGTTGAAATTGTCCACATGCTTGTGGATTTCAATGGCTTCTCCGTGTAGTCTGACATGGTGGTTGTTGGAGTGGTCCAACATTTCTGTGTTCTCAAATAATATGCTCATCAGGTGCTCTGCTATGACTGACTTCTCTGGTTGAAGTAGTCTGCAGTGCCTTGCATGTTCCTTTCTGTTGAAATTGTCCACATTCTTGTTTATTTCAATGGCTTCTCTGTGTAGTCTGACATGAAAACTTTCATACAGTTTTTGATTTGCACACAAAAGGTTATATGGGAATATTTACAATCCTTGCCATTCATATTTAAATAACTTTAAATACTATGTGTGTGGGGATTAATGTTTTCGTTTTAAATTGACAAAGAGAAAGGGCATATTGGGTTGCTAGGTACAAAACCTGTAAAACTTGTAATCCTGGAAAAATGGTCACCCTTCTTGCCTTGAGCAACATATTTCTTAGGTTATAACCAACAGCTGATGAGTTAACTTGCCTTACTTAAGACTACAAATGAAGCACAGCTCTTTTCGCTGGATTGGCCATTTCAAATTGATGTCAAATTCTGTATATACCTGACCTGCCCCAAAAGCTGGCTTACAATATTTGAACCTCTTCTTACCTTATCCATTTCATTCTTTGAATGAAAACGTCTGTGCAGCTAATTCCTCTACTCTCAGACTTTCCTCCTATTGTAAAACCAACCAAGGAGTGGCCACTGATTCTTCTGTTATGCTTTCAAATTGCCATGGCAGTATTCAGAATAGTCATTTTAATACACATTGTAGCACAAATCCTATGTAAAATCATACCTCATATTTTTGACATTAATATTGAAATTAATATATACAGAAAGTATATATATACAGAAAGTATATATATACAGAAAGTCTTTTAAATTAAATTAGAATGCTTTAAAGTTAAAATGCATGCACATTAAGCTATGATATATCAGGCAGTATACAAATATTAGAAATAAATACACGTAATGAGTAATTCATTTCTTCAAAGGAGATGTGAACTTGGTTCTATACACAATGGAAAATAGTAACGTCTCATCCTTTTCTTGGCCTCAGTGATGGTTCCTCTAGTGCAGTGTTTCTCAAACTGGGAGTCAGGACCCATGGGGAGGGGTCGCAAGGGGGAGATCCGAGGGGTTTCACAATTTGGTTGTTTTTTAGAAGTTAGTAACAAGGTCTTGTGAAGAACCTGGGGCGCTTGATGCCCTTGCACGCTACATAACTATAGTGCTTTGATTCCATGTTACTGCCATGGCAACATCCTATGAAATCATGGTGTTTGTAGTTTGGTGAGGCACCACAGCTCTCTGGCTGAGCCTCTCCCTAAACTATAGATCCCAATATTGCACAGCATATTGTGATTGCAATTAAAGCACTGTAATATTTTGGTGTATAAGGGTCCCAATTGCTTCCTACTTTTTAGAGCCTCCCTCTTTCAACTGAAAGATTACTACTATCAAATAGATACCTCCCCACCCCACAACCAGAATCCAGCGGTATTAAGAAAAGAACTCATAAGGGCTAGCAGGAGATATGATCCTTTCTATGGAGAAGACTAGTATTTTTGTCGCAGCATCAGAAACTACCTTAGCTGGTGAAATAGAGTGGAGCTACTAAAGCAGTGCATGGCACAGGCCAGGAGCCTTTTCACACTGTGCATTTCTAGCACTTTGATTTCACTTTAACTGCTGTAATTGCTTCTTGAATATGTAGCTTAGTGAGGCACCACAACAACTAAGTTTTCTCAATGTTTCTCCCTAAACCAAGAATCCTAGGATTTCATAGAAAGTTGTCATACTAGTTACAGTTGAACAACATTGCTTTAATTGTATAGTGTAAAAGTGCCCCAGGAAGAGAAGAAAAGAGAGCAGAGAAGATTGCTGGTTAGTCTGGTTTTTTGGGTCACTTTAGCAGGCACAAAATAACATCCAGCACAACTACAGCCCAAAGATGCTCAGAGATCACCGATGTTCTTGCCATCGGTTCCCTTCATCAGACCACACCTGGAATACTGTGTCCAGTTCTGGCCACCACAATTTAAGAGAAATATTGATAAGCTGGAATGTGTCCAGAGGAGAGCGACTAAAATAATCAAGGGTCTGGAGAACAAGCCCTATGAGGAGTGGTTTAAAGAGCTAGGCATGTTTAACCTGCAGAAGAGAAGGCTGAGAGGAGACATGATGATGGCCATGTATAAGTATGTGAGGGAACGTCATCGGGAGGAGGGAGCAAGCTTGTTTTCTGCTGCCCTGGAGACTAAACACTTCACACTAGAGAAAAAATTCACTGAAATTCCTGCAGAATTCTGGGGTTTGTGGTGAAACTGTTAAAGGCTCCTCCCTAAACTACAAACCCCAGAATTCTATAGGAGGCAGAAACCAGATTTTAAGTGGATATTTTCTCTAGTGTGATGAGGCCTCTAGAACGCGGAACAATGGTTTCAAACTGCAGGAAAGGATATTCCACCTCAACATTAGGAAGCACTTCCTAACTGTGAGAGCTGTTCAGCAGTGGAACTCTCTGCCCCAGAGTGTGGTTGAGGCTCCTTCTTTGGAGCCTTTTAAACAGGCTGGATGGCCATTTGTCAAGGGTGCTTTGAATGTGATTTTCCTGCTTCTTGGCAGGGGTTTGGACTGGATGGTCCATGAGGTCTCTTCCAACTCTATAATTCTGTGATTCTATGAAGTTTTATGTATGTAGTGTTTGTTCATTTGATTTTTTTTAAAAAAATGAAACCAATGAACAAACAAATACATAAAACCTTTCTTCTTGGTGTTGAAGAAAGAGTAATCTCTCTGTCTGGTAAGCATTTGTACATGGAATGGGAGGGCTTGCCATTATGTTCTCTGCCTGCGTACATTGAACCAGACCGACCTCTGAGAGGCACACAGTAGCTTTCAAGTTGTCCAGGAGATAAGGCACACGCTGGAAACTGAGCCAACTACTTTGGACTTCTGAAAAACATTCACAAATGCATTTATAGTTTTCTTTCCCCTCCTGCCCCATTGCGTTTTTGAATGGAGCCTTTGTGAGTGTGGGGAGGGGGAGTTATATGCAGGCAGTT